CTCCCAGATTTACTGGTGGTTTTGTTTTCTCCATTTCTAAGAAATTAATCTCTGAATCCTTCTTGTCTCACCTTTCCTCCGTATGTGCAGTCACATAAACTGAATCCCTGTCTCCTGAGCACTGCAGAGCTTTGAAAGCTCCCAGCACCCTGAGCCACCTTCCTGGCCATCCTTTTTCCAGCACCTTTTAAAAGTGCTCCTGCAGTGAAATGAGTCTTTTGCTTTATGACAAGACATTGCCTGTTGGCTTGACTCTTGCTCTCATGGCAGCTTTGGTATTGTGTCAGCTCACAACTCAGAACGAGGATTTTGCTGCTGTCAGCCCAGCAGGATTTTTGAGACATATTTTCTTCACACTTCAGCTCTCACACTTTTTCTTCAGTCCTGGATTACAGGAGAAAAATTTGCTTTGCTTTACCTGGGTAAATTCAGTCTGCTGCTTAAACGGGGATTAACCTTAGTGTTGATGAAGCCTGAATGGCAAGTGGGTCTACTTCGGAAGATTTCACTTGATTTCAGACAATAGTGAAAAATTGGAAAATTATGTTTCATGAGGGTAATTGGGCATCTGCTCATGAGAATTCAGCTCACAGCACAGCAGTGGACAGTTCAACCTCAGAGCTGGTGCATGAAGGCTGAGTCTTGATGGTTGTGCTTTGTAAAAGGGACCAACATCCTTCATGCAAAATTTTGCTTCAGAAAGCATGTCTCCCACAAGATACGACTTCACTGGAAACTGGAGCACAGATGGCTGGTGAGCACTGTTGAACAGCTTGCTGGCATGACCTGGCTTGAGAAGATTTTGTCTGAAGTCCTCTCAGCCCTCCTAGCACAAATCAACTGCTCTGGACATATCTTGCAACACAGCTCCTTTTAACACAGTCTCAGCACCCCTGATGGGAAGGCGTTGTGCTCCAGAGGAAGGATGTGGCTAGGAGTCACAGAGTGAGGATTAAACTGCAGATGAAGAAAGATTCCTAGCTTGGATTGATCCAGCAAGTTATCTGTATCAAATATTGATGGAATGATGTGACTTGGTACAAAGGTCAGTGCCTGTAAAAGTTAAGCAGCATCGATACATGAGCACATGCGCTGCAGTTTTCTGAAATGTGGGCAGATGCTTCTTAGCATTTTCCTTCTTCCATCAGCTGCTGATGGGAATAGCAAAGAAATGTCAGATTGCTGTTACCTCCTTCCCGAAGGTTTAATAATTTGCTTACAGCTCTATGATTAAGCTGAGCTCTGCTGATTCTCCTGCTGGAGAAAAGTCTCTTGGAGTCTGCAATAATAACAGCATTAAGGTTAATGCTGCAAAATCTCTGTGTTGTTTAGCCTATAAAAACCATGTTTATAGCTCTTCACAGTCCATTAGGGAAATGGTTTGCTCACCTCAGTGAGTGGAGGCAGAGCCTGTGGACAGTTATGTCTGGAAGATGGGGGAACCTTACCTCTCTGGGGAACTGAGCCCACAGTTTGCTTGGTCACTGAGCTCCTTTGGGTGTGTGCAAAGAGTAAGCAATGTGTTCTCCTTGCCTTTGGCTGCCTGTGACCGCCCTGCTGTGTCACTGAGGGTCTCATCAAAATCCAGCCTCCTCTTCCTCATTTCAGCCTCACTCTGTAAATTCCAGGCCTTTAACAAGGATCCACTGATTACCCATTGGCTTCCTGGAGCCTTTAGGGATAACGATTAGAAAAGATTTATGTTAATGAAGAATTAATCCAGAATAAAGCATGCAGTGCATGCATGGTCAAATCTCTGCAAGGTAAACAGCAGAAAAAAAGGTATTTCACTGGCTAAAAAAAGGCTGAGATACACATTTAGCACACTGGGTTGCTGTAAACTACAGGATTGCCCCCAATGGCTGTTCTGCTCCCTTCCCAAGCCTGGTTCCTCTTGGTTTAACCTTCTTTGGTTTTGGTAGAGTTAAAGCAGGAGGCAATTCAGCCCCTTAACTTTAACACACACCAGCACAGGTGTCAGAGCAGGATATGGCTCCAAAGTACACTGAAAACATGCAGATGAAATATTTTATTAGTAAATAGCTTTTAGTAGCTAAGTTCAGGTCTAAATTCGCCAGTCCCAGGGGTAGTAGGGGAAGCAGAGTTTGTGCATGCAATTTTGGCTTCACCTGGTGAAAACCAGGCCTGCAGGGCAGAGAAATCCCAGTAAAGGATGAAACTGGGAACCAGAGATGAAGGCTTTGGGTCTTCTGAGAGAGTCAGTGCCATCTACCTCGTCTGTGGGTATGCAGGTTTGTCTGCATTCATGTCATGCAAGGATTAGGTAAGGGATACTTGGAACTGCTATTTTGGATTTGATTGTGGAACTAATTTTAGCAGCTCCCTGTAAGACTATGCATGTCAAGCCTTTGGAACTACCTGAGATGACAACAGCAATGAGGTGGCCTGGCTTAGCCCCACAGGAAGTGTGTCATGCAGAGCAGGAGTGCAGGAGCAGGAGAGGTGCCCTGGGGAGGGACAGAGGAGCACAGCCCAGGCTGAGGGGAAGCGGAGGGAGGCTTGTGGGATGGGAACAGCACGGGGACTGTCAGCAGGGCTGGTACAGGTACAGCATCCTGATATGGACTACAGGAAACATTACAGATCGGAGATATATTACAGGTCAGAGCTAAGGACACATCAGCAGATGTATGTGCAGGAAGAAATTTTTTGTCTGCAAAATCATTTTCTTGCTTGCATGCACAGCATTCACACAGAAATATAAAGATAAAATAATCCCTTGGCTTTCTGCATCTGTATTCTTGATGTTTCGTTCATAGGTTTATAGGCTTCTTCAAATATTCATGTATCATAAGTGAAAATGAGAAAAATAGCCAGCTTTTGCAGGCTGAAAAGCAAATGAGGGAAAAAATAAAATCAAATCCCAGAGCACTAGAATAATGGTTTTAAAGAACATGAGAAACCAATGATACATTTTTTTTTAATAACCACAGTAGCTTAGGGGCCCAGTAATAATTCATTATATTAAATTTGAACACCAATTCGACCCATTGTACTAATGCCTGTAATTGCAAAAGGCAAATTAAATTTCCCTACATTGTCTGGAGAACCAGAAGACCATAGAATAGTGAGGAAGCCACAGGACAGCATAGAGCTGCAGCAGGATAGAGCTAGAAGGAGACTCATGCCACAAGGGGAAGTGACAAACCTGGAGCAGACTTCCAGGCACAACCGTGTGGAGGACACAGCAAGCATCCTATTGCTTCTTATGGCTCTGTGGCACTGTACATGCTGCAGAACACATCCGTGAATGGTTCTCCCAAAAGTTTTGGACTCGCCAAAGGAAGCGACCCTGAAATAGAAAGGATACTCGGCAAGGAGCCTCTTCATTGTCCCTTCCCTTTTCACTGCACCTCCATCTGCCATCTGTGCAAGGGAGACTTCCCGGACTGCCCACGGTATGTCCAGCTAGGGAGGTGGATAGATGGATGAAGATCTTGACAAAGCCAATGCATTTCCACAGGCTGGAAGAAAATCTCCGCTCCTGGATGCTGCCCAATGGAGCAGGGAAGTTGGAATTTCCCCAGCTCTGCTGCTGATGTGCTGTGCAACCTTTGACAAATCGCTTAGGAAATCACTTTCAAACAGCACAGATACAGTTAGGTGTATCTGTATAAAAGTGCCTGCTTTTCAGAGGCCTGAACTGGCAAGTCTGGGAAAATGAGCCCTTTTGGACTCCAGCCCATTTCTGAGTTTGCAAAATGTTCCCTTTAGCCTCTCTTTTCTTGCTTTACTATCTGTCAAATGAGGCTGTTAATACTGACTCAGTCTTTCTACAGAGTTTTAAGCTTCTGAGACTAGAAGTGCATGATAGTGTTACTAATTACAAGATGGTGATTGCACACAACCAACTCTTTAGGGACTGGTTTGCTGTTTGAAAGACGGGTAAAAGTCAGAAGTAAGGCACAGAGCTGGTGCATGGCACCTCTTAAAGAAGTTTGGTACTTTTTCCTCAACAGACCCTTCTGTAGTTAGTTAGAGACTGGGATGGAGGCTGTGGCTTTCTAGGGGTAACGCCTAAGAGAAATCCAGCCAGTTGGGTTTCTGTGACAGCTCTGAGGAATGGAGAAATCAAGGCAGGGGAGGGCCAGGAGGTCACTGCCCAAAGCAGCTGGCGGGCTGGACTGTGCCGGTGTGGAAATTCAGGGTAAGGTCCATCCCTTGCAAGGACCTTTGCCCATTCTCCTTCCTTCCTCCCTAACTCACGGGACCATGTGGTCACATTTCCTGGGTGGCAGTTGCATCCTGCTGCGATTACGGTTGCACAGCACGTGCAGCGCAGCACTGTCGGGCAGGCCAGCGACGGAGCAAAGACAGCCAGGAAGACTCAAAGCGGTGATGTGTGCCTATTCTCCCCCTGACCCTCTGGGACTGGTACCTGTGTGTGTGGCATAGACATAGGTGAGCTAGGGCATCCTGGGGAACGCCCTGTTCCACGCTGGAGGCCAGTGCCCATTTTATCAACACCTTCCTCTGATGATGGTCTTTGCAGTGAGCTGCCAGTAGCGCCTGGCTGCCCTCTCTTCTCAGCCATCCTCTGGTTTACCAGGGCTCCCCAACTGTGCCAAGCCCCACCACAGCCACGTACTTCTGGCTGAGCTGGGGCCTGCTCTATGCCTTCAGGTCAATTTGGGTTGTGTTGGGCCCGATGGCAAGCATAACCACTCCCCTCCCCTTCTTCCCTTCCTCTCCTCACTAATCCCCACGTGCATCCCATCCCTCTGCCTTCACTTAGGGGGTGTGTGTGACTTTGGGGGCCAGCACCCTGGTGCTCACAAGCCTCCTCCCCATCTCACTGCTGCAGCGTCTGCTCCCCAGCCTGTGCCCAACATGCAGCCCCAGTAAGCTCACACGCTGCCTTGCACCATGTCCATTGTTCACTGACAGTGATCATCTGCAAAACAGCTTTTTCCCCCTGGATATTAACTTATTCCCTCTTTTATTCTCTTTCCCTGTCTTATTTTCTTCTCTCCCTACAGCCTTGCTGCTCACCCAAGGTAAGTGCTTTTTCTCCTTTCCTTTGCCTGCTCTGGCTCTATTTTTGTCCCCTTTGGTCAGCCCCTGTGTTTGTGTTTGATTTGTAGACAGTCCCAGCTCACGGTATTTGTGTCCAGCAGGAACTAGTTAAGAGCAATGCATTAAGAAATGACAGTGATTGATTGACATCTAAGAGCATTTCCCATATTCCAGATTCTTCCCTGTGGCTTTAGGAAATGACCCAGGCAGGGTTGCAAAGCAGATCATGGAGCTCTGGCTGGTCTGGGGCCATGACTCCACCCCCTCCTTGGGCAGCTCTGGGGCTTGGGTTGTGCTTTTCTGCTGGGGTGCAGGATGGTGTTGCTTGGGGTGGGCAAGGGTGCAGGGCTGTGACGGTGTCCCCTTCCCATAGAGGATTAAGCCATGTGTCACCCCTTAGTGCATACACCCATGTGCTCCCCAACTCCCATCCATGGGGGTCCCAGGAGTGTGACCAGCGACAGGGCAGTGCTGCCAGGGCATGACAAGCACCAGCATCATTTCCCTCCTCACCCTCAGCTTTGGTTCTGCACTCTTCATCTCTCCCTGTGGCAAGATTTTACATGCATTTATACTGAGTCTCCCCTTCCTTGCCTGAAATCCCAGTTACGCCAGTCTCCCTTGATCCCACTGCAGTGCGATGTACGCCAACTGTATTTTTCTTATTCCTTCAATTCCTGATACGATTACAGTTGAATTTGCACTAAAGAAACATTTGTCAAAAGATAAGGGCATGCAGCAGGGTGCAGAGAGGAGCTTGAGTCTGACAGGTTTGCAAACAGAGCTGGAACCCAAAGCGTTCATCATGCCTGAGCTGTGCTGCAAATCAGAGGAACAGCATCTGCCACCCTAGCTTCAGTCTCTGCTTGTTTTTGGAGGATGCCAAATCTGCTGTGCAGGGAATGGTCTGAACCCACTGGATATTGGGCTAATTAGGAAATTGCTAGTGGCAGGCAGAAATCCCCAGCTCCCCAAATACCAGCTTAGGGTGTTTACAGAGAACTTATTGGAACTGTGGACATTTTCTTTTGTTACTTCTTCAGGTCTGGGAGGACTGGAGATAAGTTGAGCACAGCCTCCTTCCCAGTAATTTCATTGCTTTAATTCAGTAGCTGCCTAATTTGATCAGAACCCCAGAAATCAAATAATTTCTATTACAATAACATACCTTTCTTCCCTCTGTTGTGATCCAACCCTGATTGCTTTCGGCAGCTCTTATTGGAGGACTTGGTCACCAGCTATGGACTTTCCAGTTAATAAAGAAAAGCTTCTGTCCTCTCTGGGAGGAGGATCCCTGGGGTGCCCCCCTTGCTGGGTTGCCCTGGTTTGCCCTCTGTTCATGCAGTGTGTGCTTGGCCTGAAGTTTGAGCTCATGGTGCTGGCCCCGGCTCCTGCTTCAAGCCAGCAGCCGGCCAGTGAGCAGAACTCGCTGGCCACAGAGGCACGTGCTGGAGCGAGTGTCACTCAGCAGCAATCACAGCTAATCAGCGGGGAGAGAAGTGATGTCCTCGTTTAGTCTGTGTCATGTTAGATTTAGATTACACAGGCACAGAGGAATCTGGGTAAAAACCCCTGCATCATCTGTCAGTCCTGCTCCTCGTCCCCTTGCTCCCACAGCTTTTCCCAGGCAGTGTCCCTTTTCCCCAGGGCTGTGTCCCTGGGAATGCTGGGTGCCCTGGCTCTCCTCTGCAGCCCTGGGGCATTCACCCTCCCATGGCACCTCTTTTGCAGCCCCCACAGGACCACAAGTGGCTCAGGCCCAGGTCATTGCAGTGGCTCCATCTCCTTGGCAGAAGCCCTGGGGTGCACCAGTGGACGAGCCCAAGTGAAAATGCCCCTCTTGTCCCAGAAGCCCTTATTCGGAGGTAAATGGGAGAGCTTGGCTCTGCGCCCCTGCCTTGTAGAACCCTCCCTGGGAAAGAGGGCTATGAATTTCGCACAAGGCAAAGTAACTGGGCAGGGGAGTACCTTTGGCACAGGTTCAGCTCAGTATTTGCTTCTTCCAAACAGGCTCTCCAAGCCAGACTTGCAAGGCTGTGCAAAGCTTTTGAAAGCCTTGGTCGGCCAAGTGTCCAGTATCTGCTGCTGGGGCTGCAGAGAACCACAGTGGTATTGAATGGCTGTGGAATGACTTGAGAGTCAAACCTGTTTGGGTTTTTTAACTCCTCTGTTGCATAACCTTTTGTTTTGTCATTGGCAATGATCTCTCCGTATATTCTTTATACAGGGAAATATTTGATACCAAAATCCATAGCTGCTCCAGTTGTCCCTGCTATTGCCAGCAGTGAACAAGCTGCTCTGGTGGTCTTCCCAACCTTTGCAAAAGTCACTGAAAGTCCGAGTAGAGTCTTTGCTTGCAAGTTCTTGGGCTCAAGAAGTCCACATCTTTAAAGCAATGCGCATGTGTTTCAGTAAAGGGCATATCCATATGCTAACCTCAAAAGCCAAAATGTCTTTTAGCCAGCAGTCTTCCATAGTTGTGACTGACGGGTTGACAGCGCTCTGGAGAGAGGAACTCATTCATGCTCACTGCTTACTTTGTTTAGTCAGGATTATATTTTATTGAGCAGCAACAAAAAGTTCCCATTTTAATTGTTGTTTTAATTTTTTCCTAGCAGCTCAGTCCCCAGAAGGGGTGACCTTCACGCAGATACATGCCCTCTCTAGAAATGGATGGAGATAGAAGGGTGTGAAATGGCTTTCATAGCAATCTTCAATGAATATATTGCTGGTTTTAATCCAATTTATTTAGCAAGTGACAGGGAATACAAACTGGTCTGTGGCTGGCATTCTTGCAGCACTGCCTAGGTGATGGGTATATCTACCTCTCTGATGATGTTACAGGGACTTCCCATTGCCTGTTTCAGCTCAAAGGGTGCAGTGGCCACGTTATCTAACTTTGATATATGATGTGTCCTGGAGGCCACATGCAATGTCCAGTTCCAATTTGGTCCCCCTGGTCTGAAGGAGGTTGAATAGGCAAGCATCCATGTAGTAAGTACCCTGCAGGAGCAATGCATGATGTGGGAATGCTGCTCAGTGCTCCCCATTCTCCTGGGAGAAATAAAAGGAGGAGGAGATCTGCTTACAGCATTTCAAGCCCAAGAAACTGCCTATGATGTGTAGGTCTGAAAGCACTTTGAAAACGGCTTCAGATCAATTCCCTGGATGGCGCTGCAAGTGTAAGTCATCGTGCTGTGTAAGTCATTGTGCTGTTGAGAGAGCTGAGCAGTGAGCATAGCAGGGATGTGCCCAGCGCTGCCTGGCAGTGGTAGGACTGTAACTGGGGGCTGCTGGCCCCCTTATCTGTCCCAGTTTTAAGGGTCTGAACTGACCCTGAAAGAAGCAAAGTGAGGACACAGAGTGGTTTAACCAAAACCCTCTGCTTGCCTCCTGCAGGTAGGTGCTAGAGTCAGCTGTGGCCATTGCTACAGCCTGGCCCAAAGCAGACTTCGTTCTCATTCCTCCCACCCAGCCTTTGATCCTACCAGATGTTGTCTCCCCTGCTTATAGCATCTCTTCTAACCTGTGGGCTCCCTGGCATGAGGAGCAGAGTACCTTGGTATAGCACCTGGCACAGCAGCCCTGTGTGTGCTCCTGTAGCCCTGATAGGTTGTTAGCACTTGCTGATAGCACACACCTATATGCCAGAGTAGGTGGGATGTAGGGGACCCCTCTCTCACCACTTTCCCCTTCCCGGGGAGGAAGTGGCAGCAGCCCAGAATGTCCTGGCAAGCTCTTGTTCTTGCTGGGCATAGCCAGACCTTATCAGGCTTAATTAGCACGGAGTCCTGTCAACCCAAGTTCCTGGGGTGTAATCTGTGTTGAAAAGCAGGTACTGATGCTGATACAAACAGAAATCAGGCTAGTTAATAATTAAGCTGCAGCTTGGCAGCGTTCACCTTGACAGACTTGACCTTCCGAATATAAAAATCTGTCTCTCCCCTCCCCTTGTGTTTTATTTATCACAGCCCTTGGTAGTGTTCTTTACAGGCTACTGCACTGGGGAGGTGGGGGGGAGGGTGACACACCTCACCAAGGACCTATCCCTGCTTCCTGGAAGAGCCCTCCGAGTCCCTGGCCCTACCACCTGGTCCCTCAGGAGGTGGGGCCCTGTGGCTACCATAGACGGTGTGAGAGCATGCCCCATGCTTGCTGAAGTGGCCTCCTGTGGCTCCAAAGGCAGGCTAGTGCACGTGGATGCTGGCTGAAGTTCTTCCCTGAAAGGCAGGAGCATCGGGAGTGTGCCCTGCCACTGAGATGTTACAAGAGTTGATTCCCTATCAGCTGTTGTGTCTGCACATATGGGGCTCAACTCAGTCCTCAGCATCCCATCGAAACAGATAGATCCAGCAAGCCTGGAGCAGATTCTGATTTGGGTTTAGTGCTTTGCAGAGGTTGGCATTGCCTCTTGCTACAGAGTGTTCAGGTGTCCTAAAAGGTAGGTGGGGAGAAGTGGTTGATTCATGTAGGTGCTTTGTATTGCTCTTTGGAGGTGCTTAGGTCTCCCCCTTAACTGTAGGGTGAATATAGGCTGGGGCAAGAGATTTGTCAACTGGGCTCCTGAGCTTGTCCTTCCTGCCACAAATACCACTGCCTTAATTTCAGAGGACCATCATTAGCCTGGTATTTGGCACCTACGTCTCACTTGCATGAGTGCTTGAGCACAATACTGATGTGAGCCTTAATCTGTTTATCTCCTACGTTAGGAGAGAGGCTCAGTGAAAATACAATGGCAGATTAAATATTTTTATATGCACCTGTGAAGTTTGTTAGGTTTTTGTGACTTCTTTTTAATGGGGCATGAAGGAATTACCTCAGTTTTGCTTTATCTGCAAGCTTCCTCTATTAACATTTCCCCAAGGTACCCATTTGAACGCTCTGCCTATGCCTGTTCTCCTGTGGTTTGCTGCTGACTTTGAAAGGCGTAGCCTGGCAGTGGCATTCAGTCAGCTGCCCCCATAGGACATCCTTGACGTGTCTTCTTGGGCAATTGTGTGTCTTCTCTCTGTGCCCCAGTTCACTGTATTTGCTGCAGAAGAGCTGCTTGGTGACAGCAGGGTCTCCATTATTCATGTCTCGGTGGATATGCTGTCAGCAGGCTGATCAGCTTGTCCCTTCACCACAAGTGGCCTATTTAGGGCTTAAAGGTGCCTCTGGTGGTGCTTATTCTGCTGGCAAGGTGCTCTCTGAAATAGCACGAGTCCCACCGCCCTTCAGTGCTGTGGTAAGTGCCAGCACCTTCACTTTGGTGCAGTGCCTGGGCCCATACCCATGATGCATCCAGCGTCAGGCTGCAAGAGCAATCTATCCATTCATGGACATGGATGTATTACTTAATTTACTCTAAGAGCTGCCTGGCAAGTGATTGCCATGCTCATCAAATCAGTAGCTGATATGTGTGTGGCTTGCAGAGACAACAAAACCACCTGCTAGCAGCTGAACATCCTGCAGGCCTTCCCATGCAGCATGGCTAACAGCCTTGGACCTGGTCACAGTAATAAGAGATGCAGGAGACCTTCCTCCACAGAGGAGGGTTTCAAGTCGTGTGATGTCCTGCCTGGCACAGGTACATAAACCAGCACGAGTGAGATGCCAGATTCTGGAGTAAAGCTGTGTTGGATACCTCTGCCTACAGTGAGGAGAAAGCTTTCTGCACTGTGTGTGCTTACAGACCTGCCTGCAGCTCAGCCTTGCCTAGATAGTTAATATTTACATGAGGCTCCATGTTGTCTTACCATGCCAAAGGTTTTTGTCAGATCAGTTGCAATAGGGACTGAGGTTTTGTTGCACCGGCTCTCCTGGAGTTGTTAAGCTGAGGAAATTCTGCCTGATATTCCATTTTCAAGACAGCTCCTCTGAAACCAGACAATTGCTTTCTGCTCTGTGCAACTGCAGCCAGTGGGCGAGAGCCCAGGGGACTGAGCCGCCAGCTGTGACAGCAGCTTTCCAGATGCAGTTACTTCCCAGCTCAGGCAGTGGTGAGCCAGGCCATCACCACGTCTGGGCTCTGCAGCCCTGCTGGGCTGGCTGCTTTAGCTCAGCTCAGTGCTGTCAGCATACGTCAACATGTGCTCAGCTCACCTACCAAGCTGGGCCTTGCAGTGCTGAGGGTATCTCCCTCCCCTGAGCTACAGGTTATGGGGAAGCTCAGGCAGCTCCCCAAGCACTTATGTGCTATATGTGCTAACACTGGCACTGTCAATGATGGGTACAGCTTGTCATCTTCATACACTTTCAGGTAGAGGCAGAGACTGGACTTTGTCAATCTCTGTCTTGGAAAAAGAGATGCAGATTTCATCTAACTACCTGCTCAAGTGAATACAAGTAACTTGAATCTTGATAACCATCATTTCATACCTCTGAGTGTAGCATAAGGCAGGCCATTTTGTCCAAGTTCACCCTGTTTCTGCACTTCTCCAGCTCAGCTGCCTCCTCCCCTCTGTGCTTGCTTGACTTTACCTGCAGTTGTCCCAGATCCCTCAGCATCCTGCATTGCCTGTCTTCTTCTCCTCCAGGTGCTGTGCTCCCCTATCTATCATTTTTTTGTAAACTTGGGATTCCTAAATCCAAAGTACACTGTCATTGAGCTAGGCAGTGATGGTTTTGATGTAAGTCATTGATTTCAAATGATGGATGCAGCGGTTTCTGCTTCTGTGATGGCTTATAATAATGTCACCTGCCACAGGAGTTCTATATCTTATAAACTCTGCAGGCAAGGCTTACAGTTTTTGCAATCAATCTAGCTGGACTGATGGAGAGAAGGTAGTTTTTAACTGGATTTCACTGGAACTTTATAATTTCTGTGATATCTAGTGTGGAGTATGAGGTCTGTTGGAGCCCACAAGGGATTCATCCCATCTTAGGCATTACCTGGGGTGTTTGTAACCTCTACAGTAAACCTTGGGTAACATCTGACCTCTGCTTAGCCACAAGAAGGTGCTCTGCCTCTGGATACTCCACTCCCCACATTCTGGAGAGCTGCAGCTTCTGCTCTCAGGCTCAGCTGGGTCCCGTGTTGCAGCTCCATATACCCTGACTGGTCAGGCACAGGAAAGCAAATCTGGGAAATCCAGCTTCTTTCTTGGGATGTCAAGGCTTTTCAGAGAGACCGTTGCATGTGCCTGTGCTTGGGTGTATGGGAAAGCAGACCTAGGTTGGGGCTGGGGACAGTGCCAGGACACCCTTCATGATAGTTGGGGTGCTCCTTCCCGTCCACACAACCAGAACCTCCCTAGGCTGGGTTTGCTGAGGCAGCAGCAAGATGAGCCTGACACAGGGCCATCTCGGCATGCTGATGACTTGGAGTCCTGGTTTAGTTTCCTCCAGAAGAAACTAAACATGCAGTGATACGAAAGAAAATCCCCACTTGCTTCCTGAATTCTTCCTGTTCATTGTTCATTAGGAATGTGCTCTTGTGGTTGTGACTGTGTGTGTCTGTCTGAATGTTAGATCAAGCACTGAGTGGCACAGGGTGCCGATAGTGATCTAATCAAAGGGGAATAAAAAGATCCTGGAATCAGGAAACAAGCCAGGGCATTAAAGCTGTCTTAAAGGACAACTGTGCCAAATGGCAGAATGAATTTGTACCTTGGTCTCCCCAAAGATGTGGCTGCTGCAGGGTTGTTGGAAGGGTGTATGCCATCCAAAAGCACCAATGCAGGCTGGAGAAACAGCTATTTGGGTTTCTTTTTAATAAATTAAAACTATGCTGTGTATGGTTTTGGTGACTGAGATTCCAAACTCTTGGCCCTTTATTTCTGTGGTCCAACACCCCACCACTGCCCCCATATTGCTGTGTGAGTTTGGCAAGCTGTGAAGGGGCTGCAGAAGCCCATGCTCAGGCTCTGCAGACAAGCCTCCGTGGTGCCCCAATGCTCCAGAGCTGCTGTCTAAAGTTGTGTTGACCTTGCTTTCACAGAGGTGGCTGAGAGGAAGCTAACAGTTGAAGAGGAGGAAGCCAAGAGGATTGCAGAGATGGGCAAGCCAATACTCGGCGAGCATCCCAAACTAGAGGTCATCATTGAGGAGTCCTACGAGTTCAAGGTCAGTAGTTGTCCTAGAGGTCCTCCAGGAGGTGAAAGCTATGTGGCACTGAAGAGCAGCCATGGAGATCAGGACTGAGGAGGCAGGGAAGGGATGCTGGAAGAGGAAAGGGAGTATGTGATGGAACAAAGGGTAGGGGAAACCTACAAGAAATGCCGGGAAAGTGGCTGGTGACAGGAGAGGTGATGGGAGGAAGACAAGGGACCCCTGCTGGAAGCAGAAGCAGCCAGCGTGCAGGAGAGTGCAGGAACAAAGCTGTCTCTGGTGAGGCAGGGGTGAGGTAAGGAGCCTCATAAGGATTAAGGGGTGGCAAACTGGTGAGGTTTGAGTCAGCTTGTCCAGGGAGAAGGTGGGTCCAACTCCAGTCACGGCCTCATCTGTCTGGTAGGAGAGTACTTGTGGCACTTCCACGGTTTGGGAAGGGTCTGTGAGACCACCGAGGACTGCAAGATCAGCTTTGCTGGCTAGCAGCTGGTTTATTGCTGTGCATCTTTCTTTCCCCAACAGAACACTGTGGACAAGCTGATTAAGAAGACAAACCTGGCTTTGGTTGTAGGGACACATTCCTGGAGGGACCAGTTCATGGAGGCCATTACCGTCAGCGCAGGTGAGGGGACATCAGAAAACCCACACCAGCATCTGTAGGGTTCATTCAGCCTGAGGTGAGATCTGTCTATGCTGAGGAGACAGGATCTGCCTTGTCAGTGATGCTCAGCTGTTGCGTGTGTTGTGCCTGTCAGCAAAGCCAGTTCAAAGAGCTTTTCTGCTCCAAGTATGCTGGACTTTTGCAGGTGCATTAGCCAGGAGCTCAGGACATCCATCTCTGGGCACAGAGACATCCAGAAGGCCAGTTTTCAAAGACTTTACGTTTGCTGGTGGTGCTCCTGCTGCTTCGGTGGTCTGAAGGGCTGTGTATAGGCAGCATATTCTCATCCTGACTGGGCTCCTGGCTCCTGCCTCGTGTTGTCCTGTTCAGGTAGCTCCTGCTGGTGGAAGATGTCCTGTCTGCCATGGCCAGTAGAGTCTCCGGGAGTGGAGAGGGTTACCACATGCAGATAGGAGATACTTTCCCATGAGGCAGCTGCTGGTGGAGGGAAAAGCCCAGAGACCTGCCAGCTGTTGTCCAGGGAGCCTGGGAGAGCTCACCCCTTCCAGAGCCATGCAGCTGTGGAGCAGACATTATAGGCAGGTCCATGTTTTTTCCCAGGCCTGCTTCTCTCTTCTCATGTCTCTCTCCTTCCCTTGGCATCTGCCCTGTGTTCCCTTCCTGCTTTCTCTTCCATTATCCTGTATCAGCACAAAGACTGGCAATGCCTCCATCCTTGGGGATGACCTTGCCCCAGGCTAAGAAGGAGACTCCTCCGAGAGCCTGCAACACTGCTGCTGATCCCTCACAGAGATGCGAAATTTCTTGCTGGGGCACTGCTGGTGACCAGCCCGTGCTGTGGGGCAGGAAGACCAAGAGGTCTCTCCAGTTTCCCAATTCCATAGCTTTCTGCTGGTTTTCACCCCCCAGAAATATATATTTTGGGCTGATATTGGCATAAAGTTATTGGACGACAATAATTCCATGGTGCCCCTCAGCAGTGACCTCCACAGGTTAACTAATTCCTATGCAACGTCCTGTGGATGGGGACAGGGCTGTCCCTTTGTGGGTACAACACATCCCTGTGCCTCTCCCCTGCCCTGCAGGTTCTGAGGTGTCCTGGGAGGCACCCCTCTTAACAAGCCTCGCCCATCACTGAGGGACCTGCTATGCCCCGAGCCCACTGCCATGGCTGGCACCATGCCACCTTGCCCCATGAGGGCAGCATCCCTAGAGCCCTGGGGTGGGGGGCTGTAATCTTGACCTGCCCCATCATGTGTGCTGGACCTCTTCTTCCATGTTGTTTGCAGCAGGTGATGAGGATGAGGATGAGTCTGGTGAGGAGCGCCTGCCATCCTGCTTTGACTATGTGATGCACTTCCTGACCGTCTTCTGGAAGGTGCTGTTTGCCTGCGTGCCCCCCACTGAGTACTGCAACGGCTGGGCCTGCTTCATTGTCTCCATCCTCATCATCGGCATGCTCACAGCTGTCATCGGTGACCTCGCCTCCCACTTCGGCTGCACCATTGGCCTCAAGGACTCAGTGACTGCCGTCATCTTTGTCGCCTTTGGCACTTCTGTACCAGGTGGGGTGGCCGCGGGCAGGGGATGGGGTGCAAGGAAAGTCCTCTGGTGGCTCTCCTGCATGCAGGGGAGCAGCTCTGTTATGGGATGGGGTTCAGGCTGGAAGGGGCTCTACAAAGCCCTGTCCCAAGGCAAGGTGTGTGCCCCGCTTGGTGGCAACATGGGGTCCTTGGACCCAGGAGGCGGGCTGTGCATCAGGAGAGGTCTGTGTCCCAGACATGAAGGGTTGACCATTTATCCTGTTGGACCCCCAGTGATTTCTCCTTCCCTCCTCCCCCAACCGCAGACACGTTCGCCAGCAAAGCCGCAGCCATTCAGGATCTGTATGCCGATGCCTCCATCACCAACGTCACAGGCAGCAATGCTGTCAACGTCTTCTTGGGCATCGGGCTAGCATGGTCAGTGGCAGCAATCTACTGGGCGTCGCAGGGGCAGGAGTTCCAGGTGTCAGCGGGCACCCTGGCCTTCTCTGTCACCCTCTTCACCATCTTCGCCTTCATCTGCATCAGTGTCCTCCTCTACCGCCGGCGGCCCCACCTCGGGGGGGAGCTGGGTGGCCCCCGGGGGTGCAAGCTGGCCACGACGTTTCTCTTCGTCAGCCTCTGGCTGCTGTACATCCTCTTCGCCACCCTGGAGGCCTATTGCTACATCAAGGGGTTTTAGGCAGTGGAAGGACGGTGCCTCCAGGGGGAGGGACACCCCTCCTCCATTACCTCACTGGACACCGGTCCTGGAAGCATGGTTTCATGGGAGGCGACGGCTGCCCATCGAAGGCTGCCACTGCCCAGGCGGTCACACAGCTGGGTGCCAAGAAGGGCAAACCCATCACAACGTGAAGAAACAACCAAACAGACAAAACCCACCCAAAATGATACAAAAGAAAAGGAAGCAACAATGGCAAGTGTTGAAATAAAACAAACCACAATAAACCCAGCCACTGAGCCCACTCAGTGAGATGACCTAGCCTCAAGTCATCTCTGAAGGCCACCTCCCCACAGGGGCTTGTCTCCTTTCCTCCCAAGCACCCCTCTGCTGTAAGGAGATGTTTTCTTATTTTCACTAGTTGGGAATTGCAGAAGTCTGATGAGGAATTTGTGGGTTTTTTCTCTTTCCATTTGCTCGTTGCTTTTCGGTTTGGGGGGAGCCGCTGCTCGAGTTCATTTTTGTTTCCCTTTTTTACTACTTAAACAGAAAAATGTTAAAAATTTAAACTCTGAACCTTTGAGCTGCCGTCAGTGCTGGAATTGAACATGTGTATTTTCTGAAGCCACACAAGAATATGACACAGTCAAAGAACTTTTTCACTATTGCCCATTCCCTCCCCTGCCGCCTTCCATTTCTTTCCAAGAACATCACAAGACTGATATATTTTTAATACAGAGACACAGACACACATTTAGTGACAAAGGCTGGAGCATGTAGCATCTCAATCACCTGCCTGGGCTAAGAAAAAAGGAGAACACCCCTCCCCCCCCCCCCCCAGCCCTCTAATATAATACGTACCATGTATATTTTGACTATGGCATTTCTCTTTGTATAATTAACTTCTAGCTTGTGATATTGCAGGGAGAGAAAAATTATGTTCATTTTCAACTGATAGAGAAATAAATGGCTACCCAGGAATAGCCTCCCCTGCAAGGAGAGAGGTGTCCAAGGAAAGCAGCACCAGCTCCTTGGAATGGTGGTGGCGGTGGGTTTGCTGCGCAGTCCTTCTGCTCGGAGGTGGAAATGAATTCAGGAGCACCTGGGATAGTGTGCCCATGTGTTCCCAGCACCAGCCTGCCCGAGCTGTGGTGTGGCTGTCCTTTCACTCCTTTAGTACCCCGGTTTTCACAGCACCCTCATCTCGCTGGTGCTCTTGAGGCCATTGAAAGGCATGGGCTTAAAAGCTGCCACCCGTGTCAGGACTTCTCGATCATCTTGAGTACCGTTAAGAACACCAGACAGACAAAGAGGCATCCTTCTCATTTGAAGTGCATTTCTTTTTAAGGAAAAACAAACAAACAAACCACCACGAAAGTGTGTCATGAATTACATCAATGGCTGCAAATAGAAATGTTGGGTTGGTAATAAAAATAAATAAAAACTATGCCTATATCTATAAAAATAGTGATATCTAGAAACATATTTCTTAATTGAGAGCCCTGGAAGAGGATGTTAAAACTTCACTCTTTGTAAAGTATTTTCAAGATGAAGGTAATTTCTTCTATCAAGAAACAGCTGCTGAAAGGGGAAACATTTTCTTCATAAAGTTCCCTATAATAAGCCAGACTTTGGAGGCAGCAAGAAGGAAAGAGGCTTGCCTCTGTCTGCTGCTGCCCCAGAAGGCGGGGAGGAGGTGTCCACAAGATAGGGAAAAAGCAATGGTAACAAGTCTGTCATGGACAAGAAGAGATGTAACATTATAGCAGGAGATGACTAGATGGGAATGATGATGGTCCTTAACACACAGATGAAATATTTATTTTCATATTAAATGTTTATCAGATGTCTATCTCTATATAAATGTGCATACACTTAAGGCAGAGAAGAAGGATCCTTCTCAGAGGAGCAGCAGGAGTTTTGCCAGTGGAGGCCAACTGTGGGTGGAAGCTGTTGGGTTTGAAGCCAACAAGCATCCCACCTCCTGCTCCTTACCCTCCCTTTGCCATGCCTTTGGGAAAGGGCCTGGAAAAGATGGGCATGAGACCCCAAAGCCAGGCTCCCACTGAGCTTGCTGGTCCTTCTGCCTCTGTCTCTGCCAACAGCCACAGAGAGCAGCTGCTGCCGCCACCAACCGGGGCTCCAGAGCTCACATGTGGAACACTGAAACTGACAAAAGCTCCAAGCACTGTCTGTGAGGGTTAAAGCGCAGCTCTTAAGGGGAGGTTGTTATCATTGCTGCGTTTAATTTGGGCATATAAAGTCTGCTGAGCTCTTATGTCACCCGTGTGAGCCCTCTGGTTAAAGCCCAGCCTGGGAGCTGCCCTGCTGTTCTTCTATTGCTTGTGCTGTATCCACAATGTGCTTTTCAACTGCTTCCTTCTTCAGCTGACTGCAGGGGGGTGATGCAGGGGGAGGCCTGGCTCCTCTGAGTGCCAACTGCACGGGGACCCTGCTGTCTTCCATGCACCAGGGCAGTCTGTGCCAGGGGACAGCATCCGTGGAGTGTTTCTTTCTTTGATTTTTGTTTTTTACTTCATTAAAAAATATGCAAGATGGGAAAAAAACAACAAAACCACAGCAGGTTGGGTGCTTTTGAGGGATTTTGTTTCTTTTTCCTGAGGCTTTTATGTTTTGGTTCTAGCTATCATCTGCTTGCCCCCATTTTCCTTTGGGCAAGTGCCTGGACTTGGTTTGCAGTGGCTCTGTGTGGTTTGCTTCCCCTGCTACTTTCTCCATCTGGCTTGGTACTCTGGGAGGACTGACAGCATTTGTTCCTGGCTGGCTGGCAAGAGGAGATTTTGCTGCTATTTCTGTTGTTTGTGCTCCATCCCCTTTGTTCCTCCCATCAGCTTCCCATGGCAGACTGCTATAACAGCCTCTTGGCAGCCCTCGTGCTTCAGGCAGCAGCCACTTACTTTTCTGCCGCCATCCCTGCTCCTTGATGATGCCCCATTGCTTCTATGGTTGAGGATAAATAAAGTGTCCTGAAATCAGGAGGGAAAATCCAAGGTGATCAAAGCAGCTGCCTCATCCTGGAGGCCTGAAATGGCATGGGGGCATAGTTTCAGGACCATCATGCATGGTGCAGTACCTCTGGATGCCTTCTCACCACTGCTGCCACCAGCACCCCATGGCTTTTGCCAGCCAGGTGATGCTGCACTGCATGGATGCTGGTGAAAAATCAGCCTTTGGGTAAAGAAGAGTTTTGGAAAGAGTCACTCACTCATTCCCCTCAAGATGGCTGGGAATTGTGTCCTGGGTTTGGCTGGGACCATGCTACCTCCTCACAAAGTATCACCACTGACTGCTTTTTTCCACTTGTATTTGGGCCCCTAACCACAAAAGTGCTCTGTAGAGTGGGCCTTGAGTTAGAACCCTCCCCATGTGCCTTTCTGCAGCAAAGGGGTGTGTGCAGCCTGTAACCCTGGGGGGCTCCTTGTGGGGGTGCCGGGGGATATTGGGGCTTGGGCATGTCATGGTACATTGCAGTGTGCTCAGGTGGGGATGCTGTGCTGCACATCACTCCCTTGGGGCGGCCAGCATTTGGCAGAGCCATGACAGAGCCGTTGCCCCACTGGGTCCGCATGCTCCCATCTCACTGCAGGGGTGTGCGGTCACTGCCCACCCCTTGCCCTGTCAGCCAGCTCATGCTCTCCTTGAGCCTGCAGCACCCGCGGCCATCATGCCTGCTCCTGACCCACAGGGAAGCACACAAGCCCCAGCTCTGGGAAAGGACCCATTGCTTGAACTTCAGCAAAGGAGCTTGGGGTGGTGCTTGTGGGTTGTGACCCTTTGGGGCTGGATCGCTATGACCGCTGCAGAGAAGCATCACAGTCCCCGTAAGTGCTAAGTCATAGATACAGGATGGAAAAGCACCATTCCACAGCAAGCTCCTCCTGAGTAAGAGGAGCGTGCAGGCATCAGGAACCAGCTGTGGTATGGTACAGTGAGAACAACATGCTTGTTAGAGCTGTTGAGCAAAGGTTTCAAGCTAGAGAGGAGGCACAGCTCTTGGATTGGGTTTTATCACCTCTTCTGGACAAGCACAGGTTAAACACAGAAACATTCTGTGATGCACATTTCCTCTGATTCCATGGCTGGGGCTGCTGGACTGGTTTGTTAACTCCTGGTATGGGAGGACTCCTCCACTACTCTCCGCCCCAAAGTAGCAACACAAGCTTACCTCATTTACCACCTGTGAGAAGAAGCCCCCATCAGCTCCATGTGTCCCTTGGGCTTCAGCCACCCTGGCCCACTGCTGTGGTGGGACAATGCCCACCTGCCTGTCTTTACCAGCACAGCATTTTGCTTTGGGAAAGCATTCTGGAGGACAGCCAGTACTGTTGTACCTGGGCACTGCTGAGATAAAGTGTAGGTAACAGGATCTTTGAGGAATGACCATTGTGCACCTCTCAACAGTGCAATAGGACAGCTATAGATGATAACAGAAAGGTATCTGGGAGATCTGGTCTTGCTTGTACACGCCACCTTTCAAAGCTAGGAAATTTCAACCCACCCTCATCACACTTTGGTGTTAAGTGGTGGCAGGTCATTCCTCATATCCTTCACCCGGAATTGCTTTGTTCTGGGGAGAAAAGAAACAGACAAAAGCTTTTGGGGGTTAATTCTGCCAGGAAGCGGATGCAGCCCTGACCTTGTTGTAGGAGCCAGCTGGCACGAGCAGGAGCAGCAGTTGCTCAGCCCTGGCCACAAGATGGAAAGCACTTCTCACCAAGAATAACCTGTGGAGTATTACATGGAAAAAATGTTTTTAATGACCGTTGTCATCAGTGTGCATGTGCCAGCAGCAGCCACCTTGTTAATAGCAGAGTGCGTGCCAGTGCCGCTTAGTGCCCAGCAGACAGAGCTCCCAACTTGCCTCTATAGTGGGATGGGTTTAAGGATTTTGCACCTCCTAGTATTTAAATGAGTTATTTAAAATACATAGATGATTAACAGCATGAGTAGATCTATCCATCCCCCACCAGCCCCTCCCCACCTTCCCTTCACCCAGAGCTCTGTGCTTTGTCTGGCAGGATGTACTGGCAGGGTCACACAAGTCCCCCAAACCCATGGGGCATCCCAGCAGGCAGCCAGAGGGTCACTCGTATTTGCACCCCCACTGCCAACATCAGAACCCCTCATCCCCCTCTCCATGCTGTACTGGTATACTCATCCCTTCACCACACTTGGCCTTGGGTGGTAAAATGGGCTTAGACATGGAGCCTATGGGCATGATTTAAGGTTGATGAGCTCATCAGATGTTCCTGCTGCACCTCAATGTGAGCATTCACCCATGTCCCACACAACACCACTGCTGTTGCTACGTGTCGAGTGGGAGCTGTGGCTGAAGGAAAAACTGTGATCTACCTTCTACTCATTGCTGGGCATGCACTCAGATATTGGCCCAGTTTGAAGAATGCAATAAAAAAACATAACTTAGGTCTAGGAAGTACTTTGAAACTGGTATGGAATCTAGGTGCATTAAAGAAATAAGCCATTTAAAGAAGTTTTTTTTTATGGTGTAAGATGTGACATTATAAATGCCTTCCTGAAGCTATAAATACCTTACCAAGAAGATGTCTGCTGTCTAAGAAAATATGCTTGCATTACAGAAACACTGGTCACATTTTGTGAGAAGAGTGTGTACAACTTGGGTGCATGGAAAACAGGTAGTGGGGGGAAAATCTCAACACAAAAGCTTCAACAGTGCTCTATTTTTTTCCTTCTTGTTTCATTCACAAAGACATGGAAAACAACTGGTACTAGCCTTGTCATAAGAGCATTTTGCATGTGGTAAAGGCCTTCAGGTTCTTCACTTTCTCCTCTTCCAGCTTCCAAGAAGTCATTTCTGCTGGATTGCTGCCTGTTGAATCTCACTTTGCGTTTGTGCACTCATGCCAGCTGCTCCACAGCAGGTCATTGCCTGCTTCTCTGCTGAAACTCATCCTGTTGGCTTGGACTATTTCTTCTATCAAGCATTCTGGACCTACCCTTAGAGGTGCCCTCAGGGCCACCCCTCCACTTGGATATTACCAGGAAATTTCATAGCAAAGCAATTTTCTAAAGCTGCTGATTGAAATACTGAATAGACCTGGACCCTGGGCAGCCACTGCAAAGATTTCCCCAGAAAGCTCTCTGACTTTGACACTGAACTCAACGTATTGTCAGTCAAAATAGGTTGTGCTTCCTCAGCTCACTTATAAGGACATCTTCTGGGACAGTGCCAGAAGACTTACCAAAGTCAAGATATATCACATCTAGGGCTGACCCCTGTAGCTGTGAGGCTAGTTATCCTGTCAAAGAATGGAATCAAATTAGTTTGATGCGATTTGTCCCCAGCAAGACATGAACAAACCCGTTCCAAGCTTTCTTTTTTTTACAAATTTATAGCTTTATGTAGGGGATTAGAGAATAACTGGTCAGCAGCTCGCTCTTTTAAGATTTTACATAGGTATATTGGACATC